TGTCCTGACAGAACAAAAATACATAAGTCACATTTTGTCTTTTGGTCTTCTGCTCCCCACTGGCAGGCATATAATGACTTGGATAACAGTGTATCACCTTGTCTTTTGCAAGGTTACCAGCCATGTGCTTTTTTTATTAAGAAGATTAATAATTTACAAATACAGTTCTGGGACCCCCAAAGATATCCTTAGAACATAAAAGTGTGAGTTTTTGCAACTTTGTATTTCATATAAAAGTGCAAAGGAAAAAAATTGCAAGGGTCAGTTGGTGGGTTAGAGATTGGGCATCTGGACAACTGGAGGTTTGCACTATGACAATCATACTATAATCATTCATAGCACATAAGTCTTCCCTCTATTCTGCCTGCTTGTTATAAATTATCATGGAACTATCACAATCCAAATCGATAATTTTAAACTAATCATAAAATCATCTTGTTCCATTGAGTACTTATAAAACAAAATCATGAAGCAAACAGAAGTCATTATTTTCCTTTTCAAGCTTACTTATTGAAATCAAATGCTTTTGTCCATTTTTATGTTATCTTTTGTTTAATAGCGAGACTTTAGTGGGGTTTTCCTAATTGAAGGACGCTGCAGTCAATTTTCAAACATAACCACATCATGGTCCTTACTAACTCTTTTTGTTTCGTTTGTGTAAAGCAAATTACAGGAATCTGAAAAGAAGAACTCCGAGCTGTTATCAGAAATAGACAGACTGAAAAAAGAGGCAGAAGAACTTCAGTCAGAAAAGGGTACGGGAACTGACATCCAAATAAAGTTGACTGGTGGTGGGTACATCTTATCAAATCACAATGTCCACTTATAGACTGCTGACAGAATCTGTATTTTGAAGATTCTGACTCTTGAAGTGTCATCATAGCCCTGGCATGATAAGATGTACCCACACAGCTGTTACAAAATTAAAATTATCTTATGTACTCTTGGCATACTTGAAATACATTTTTTTCAGATTGTGTTTTTGTTTGTGCATATATAGTCACTGTATTAGGAACATGCAATACCTTATAGTTTTATCTTCTTAAGAGTAGGTGATTCTTAATTTATTCTTCAGTTGGCAAGTACTACTCAGACATCAGATATATAGGATAGAAAAGAATATGTATAAAATGCATAGTCTTTTGATCTTTTATCATTATAAGCTAGAATCCATATGCTCAATTAAGATTGAGAAGTTCTCCAAAGTAAATGAGTTCTCTAAAGCAAAGTAAAGAAAGTTTAATCTATTGATAATTGCATTAATATAATTGAAAATGTTGGTTGATTTTACTATTCATTCTAAGGAAGAGAACTACACACCCACACCAGTATTTTCTTCATCTGATGTCTCTTGGGAAGAAACAGCTAAGAAAGCAACTATAGAGCAATATCTTAGAATGTGAGAAGGCCTGGAAATGGACGTCTAGATGTGATAGAACCAGGGGTGGGATTCTACCAGTTTGCACCTATTCGCTAGAACCGGTTGTTAACATTCTAAGCAGTTCCGAGAACCGGTTGTTAGAAGAAATTACTGGCCTAATCCTGTAAGGAAGACAGGAAGGAAACATTCTGGTGTTGCTTACAGAAACTGCCTCTCTGTTAGCCCTTATTACATTCTTGGCAGGACTAGACTTCCTGTCTCAGGAACTTCTCTGGAGTTTTTTTCCCCTCCTTTGCTGGTACTTTGCTTGTGTGGAGTGACCATTCAAAGTTACAATGGCACTGAAAAAAGTGACTTATGACCATTTTTCACACTTACGACTGTTGCAGCATCCCCACAGTCATGAGAGGCCAGGCGAGGAGATGCATGCCTTGATGTCAGTGATACTGAGTTGGCCACACCCAGCCAATAACATGACCACCAAGCCATGTCCACCCAATCACATGACCACCAAGCCACGCCCACCACCTAAGCCACGCCCACAGAACCGGTTGTTAAAAAATTTGAATCCCACCCCTGGATAGAACCTATATATGTTTATAAAAATCATACATTTCAGTTTGTGAATGGAAACTTTACCTTATTCAAATTATCCTATTGTAAAACAAATTTACCCATCACAATTCAGAAGCAATATAGCATCAGGGATGAAGATTTAAAAGTACTATAGTGTTATATTAGCACTTGTAAGGCAAGGTGAAAAATAGATCTCAGGGCCAAATGCAAAGGATAGGATGCATACTGAGGATAGGTTTCAGTTTTGTTTTTTGTATTGTGTGATCATTGCTGGACAAAACAGATGTTACTGGTTTGTTTGCTTATTACAAAACAATTTACATATCCCTGTTTAGAGTAGCATTCAAGCCGTCTTATATCAAAGGGTTTTAGTTCAGAGCCATATGCAGTTGAATTTTAATTTCTCTTTTGCATATCCTATTCACTCCTTCATTTTAATCCATGCAGTGTTTCTCTCTATCTCCTGAACCTGGCCCTCCAGTAGATGGGAGGCAGATAGATAGAAATAGATTAGCATTTATTTCTGATTTCCAATAATTTAACAATAGTAAGTAAAATGCATGTAAAAAAATCAGAAGAATTTTCTGACATTCATTCAGATTCAGGATTCCTTTCTTATTAAGTAGATATCTTTAACTAGCTCTACATACGATTTTAGAACAACTATAGAATTCCAAATTTGTAAGTCAGATGTGTAGGAAAGTCAATTCTGCAGCTCATGTATAAATAACACCTTTTTTAACAGTATTTTCCATCTCTAATTTAAATGTGAAAAATCATCCCTTTTGATGCCTAATTCCACATTTTTATTATTTTATACTTGATTTGACTTATGGATCTTACATTTGTAATTAAAACCAGGAAACACCCCTCCTCCCAAATCACATTAAACAATTGCCTTACTGCCCAAACCTTTTCACTTTTATATTTCAGCATTACTGAAAGCATGCTTGCTGTTCTTCTATACATCAGGGTGATTTCATTTGGTTTATAGCCACCAATCCTATAGGATGCTTGTTCTACATAAAAGAGTCAAATGTCAAGTTTGCCTTGAACCTTCCGTACTCAGTGTAAAGTTGCCAATTGTGAGAACCCAAAATTGGAGTTGCTGCTATTAAGTATTCTTCCAGATTTGTGCAGTTTAGAACTGGTAGCCACAAACTCAACCACCAGATGGTTTAAGAGGCTTACAAATCTTATACTAATGTGTATCTTGTTGGACACATTTATCGTATGCAAATACTGGATTGCTTAGTTGTATCAACCAGAAAAAAATGTATCAATACATGGTAGAAGCTTATTTGTTTAAAATAATTTCTCATCTTTGTAGAATAAGTGCTTTGGGATTATGTTCCTGTTGCTGCAAGAAGGATCAGATTAGTTTTAAACAGAAAATAATTATTCAACAGTCTCTCTAATTTCCTTCAATACAGTAGAGAAAAGTCTCCAGATTAAGGTTGACTCCTGATAGCTTTAGGGAATACTGATGCCATTTTCTTGGTAACTGCAAAAGTAGTTTGCCATTTCTTTTTTTCTGAGATGTTTTTAACTCTCAATCTAATCTGTAGTTTAGAGATTCCCTGATAGTGTGCTTTTCAAATGCTAATCAGGCTTGTCCTTGCTTAGCTTCCAGTCTCAAACAAAATCAGCTGGGTTATATTGAATAATAACAAGATTTTTGCTGGAGTTTTTATAGAGACACTCATTTTTTTCAGCAGCAAGCAAGTTTTTTAATCTCTTTCCTTTCTATTTTGAACACTGGGCATGAAGGAACACACTAATGGAACCTATACAGACAGGAACAGAAAACTTCTCAGTAAAAACTGAAAGGAAAAATTGCTTTAGATCATGGGTATTTCTTATGTGTCATAGTAGGTAAAGAAAGTATGTGTTATTTATGCATTTATTTATTTATTTATTTGCTTATCACATCTTTGAACCACCCATCTCCCTCAAAGAAGGACTCTGGATGATGTACAATAAAATCAATTGTGACATAAAATTTTAAGTCCAGTTTCTCATGTTTTAATTGGGGAGATCTTATGTAACAATTGGTGTGAAAATTCACCAATTGGGAATAAGAATTTTCTTTTAATCCTGAAAGGACCATCCCAGCAAGTGGTTCCCATGAATGTATCCCATTACATTAAAGATCTGGCAGTATATGGGTTAGCAAGACTGATTCTACAGGGACTTAAATCTAAGTCCTCCCAGGAAAAAAAATCCATAATATCTTTTGGGAATAATCTGATCTTAAGCAGAAAGCAACAACTCAAGAACAGCAACAAGTAGGTCAGTATGTGGATGATCGTTTTCTGTTGATTAAAATCATGCTACTGTTTTTTAGGAGTGAAGCATCAAGACTCACAAAATTCTTTCTTGGCATTTTTGAATGCACCTACCTCTGCTCTGGATCAGTTTGAAGTAAGTAATTTGATTTATTTCTTAATATTTTGATGTTACGAAAGGATGAAATTTATGGTCACTACTGCTTTGAAATCATAACTGCAGTTATTGTGGTGCAAAAAACATTCAAAATATTTTGATTCATAAGGAATATTATTTACTTCTTTTGTCACTTTCTGACATTGTCATGTTAGTTGTAAAAAGGAGAATATTAAAAGTATTTGTACGATGCTTTTAATGCAGATTTCCTATGTGCCAACCTAAGCTGTATTTCAAATACAAGACAGAAGAGCTTTCTTTTTTGCCATTTTTTAAAGTCTTGAAACTTAACCCTAAAATGAAACATCTGTAATATTTTCAGATCTAGAATTAATCCTCAGCTAACAACCACTCCTGCAGTGACTGAGGCTGAATGAATAGTAGGATATGGACACTTGGCAACTGGCTCACACTCATGACAGTTGTAACATTTCATGGTTATCTGATCCCCATTTGTGATCTTCTCTGCGGTTTCCCACAAGCAAAGTCAATAGGAAGCTAACACAGAAGGTCACAAGTTGCTTGGATAAGTCTCCCACACCTGACAGTAGCCACCTGCAGTCTTGCAGTGCTTGCACCAAAACACACCAGGCCATTGTGCACCCTAGGGTGCCCTTTCCACCTTATTTATCTCTGGATACAGTTCCGTTCATGGACATAGTATAACAAAGGTATTAAACATTTCTGAAGTAGAGAAAAGAAAGAGTTGTATATTAGGGAACTAGGACAGAGATGGATTGTAGCCTTCAGGGGGAGAGGAAGATGATGATGGCAGAAAGGTGAGGCCTAAGGAAAAGGTACTTAGAAGCAATAATTCACTGATGAACCAAGTTGATGCTAATGTATGTCCAATTAAATGTAGCTTATCTATCAATATATTTACTGTTTGGCAGTCATGTGTTTCGATATTAAAACATGCTATGACAAAATAATGTCAATAAATTTTATATTCTCATTACAGGTAATCCTCAACTAACAACTGGTCATTTAAGGATTATTCAGAGTTATGATGGTCTTGGAACAGATGCTTTACAACCTGTAAAGCACTTCCAGCTATCATAAAATGTCATGAGCCCTCATAGTTATATGACTGCATTTGGGGCACTTGGTATCCATCTTCATTTTGCCACCAGTTTCTGGCAAAAACTGTGGTTCACTTAACAACCACAGTGATTCACTTAATGACCATCATAAAAATGTTAAAAATATGGGTCCAGTCACCTGACTGCCATGATTTACAAGTAGATTTCCAGTCCTAGTTGTGATTGTAAGTCGAGGACTACCTATAATGATTGTTTTGTTATCAGATCTGTTTTTAGTGTGAGTGAAACAATATTCATTATTTGTGGATTACAATTAGTTACAAAACTGCAGAAGTTAAGCTGAACAAAATAATCTGTTAGTCAATTCCAGTTTTTCTTTATTTGATATCTCAATGGTATGGTGATGCAGTTGTTTTCACAAAACAGACATTTTCATCTATCTATTTCTGTTTCTTTACTGCTGTATGCATTAAAATAGGATTCCTTTTCTTCTTCATCTTCTTCTTCATTGATTGATTTTATGGATGACGTAAGTCTTTCATCTCCAAATCCACAAATTATTCAGTAATAAAACAGATTTGATTTGGCAACTTCAGATGGTAATGCAGTCATCTTAAACCATCAAGAGCATGAAATTCAGCAGGTTCTGTGCTCCTGATGTGTCTGTGCTGTACAGTTTTCAGTATAAGTTTCCATGGCATGGGCTAAAGGTTTTTGCATATGTGTCTTTTCATTTGCTATTTGAAGGAACTGAGATGCAAGACATGACTTGTTTCAAGGGAACCACTCACACTCATTCTGGCCTGTTAGTGATATTGCTTGGTGAAAACTATACTGTTAAAATTGGCTTCTACAATTCTGTTTTTACTATAGCTTGGGATGAGTGTGAATATATGTTTCATTCACATGCATGTCACTTTCTTAAGATTTTTTTTTCTCCTGGTCATTTTAAACTCATATACCAGTGACAAATTTTTTTATCAAGTATATGTGGAATAATTATGTCAGTTGTATTGTAGATACAAAATGCAGTGCTGTAGTGCTCCTATTTACAGTAATGTTTTTCAATATGACTGTCCTCACCGTAAAGACACTGGAGGATATTGTTCATCATTTTTGAGATTGGATTATAATTTCTGCATCATGAAAAGATATCCCAATAGTTCTATATTCAAAATAATTTAACAAATATGTTATCACATTCTCAAAACAAAGGTCACACAATCCAGGTTTTCAGGAGACTGTAGGATTGGTTTAAAAAAGACAAGTTTCTGATGGAATTGATGAAATAATGATTAGGTTCTTTCATCCATATTAATGGTTCTGAAAACCTTTAATTCTAAAATAGGTTGATTTCAGTAGCTGGAAAAAAGTATGCATCCTTAAAAAGTACTCAATAGGTTTTAGGTGCTTTGTATGAATAAATTAATGGCTTTGTATAATAATAGTAATACTAGCCTTCAGTTTGCAGCAATAGCTGACCACAAAAGAAGCAATTTCTATGTATTCCAGATTTAAAATAGCTTTTGTGGTATATAAATATGGGTTTAAAAATTTATGAGCACATTTGTCAAAGTATTCAGATTACAAAACTGACATAATCTACACACCTCTTTTTTCAAATAGTCCAGTGTCTTTAATTGATAATAGCTCCGATTAATATATTTATTCTTAGTCATGTTTACAGACTACTTTTATATAATATATCTAATGGTGATCTATATGTAGCATTTAGTCTGAAAGCTTAAAAGTGATCTAATGTCACTCAATGAATCACATTGCTGAATAGAAATTGAACTTGGTTCTCATTCCTACTTTAAACACTACTTAGTCTGTTTCTCAAAAGTAAAACAATCCTGGAACAAAAATAGGGGAGATACACACACACACACACACACAGTGTTTGTGTGTGTGTGTGTGTGTGATTTTCTTGGAGAAAATTGTTGCCTTTGGGCCAGTAATTGGAAGAAGTTCTGCACATTTATTAAAATAACACTAGCCATCTTTCGTTCTACACTAGCCATCTTTCTTCCCTATTTAGACAAACGGAAGAAGGAAGTAGAAAGGATCTAAAGCTTACTAAGAACCTTATGCTGCCTTGAAATTTTTACCTAGCCTGCGGGCCTTGTGAAAGACAGTAACAGAATATTAATATTGTCTTGTCTATAGCATTAAAAGTCCCAACGTGCCTAACAAATGTGAATACTGATAGCTAACTTATATTCTGTTTTTAAAATAATTTCTTCTAATATTAGATCATGTCTCCCCCATTTCTGTAAGATCAAAATAGTCTTGTCAAAATAAACTTCTTCAGTAGCTAAATTGAGTCTAAACAACTTGTGTCTCACAATTCTACATAGTTTATTATCTATGTGTTGTTGACCACAGAACAGGATTAAAGCTGACTAAATTTCCAAGTTTTACTGAGCACTTGGACGTTATTGATTATTTAGCAAGTCAAAATACTTGTGCTAAAAGGCTGTTATATAGCTTCTATCCTGCTCTAAAGATTCCTTATTTGTTTACCATAGTCAGAGTTGAATTTAGGGCTTCCTAGTTTATTGAGATTAATGGTTATGTTGCCTATAAAAAAACTATATTGCCCAGGCATCAGAATTGGCATAGAACGGGAAAGAACCTGGTTCCTGATTTTGACAGAAAAACACCCAACACCTGTCAGATTCCACCCACCCACCCACCCCGTTTATGGCAACTTGAAAAAAGGCATAGGAATGTTTTGAGTTGACAACAACTTTGTAAAGTGACTTTTTTGCACCTGCTCCCCGCCCGCCTCAAACTGCAGTACTTCAGGCAAAGCAAAAAACATTTTATTAAGATGGGGATATCAAATCTTAATATAAGATTCAGAAACAAATGATAAATACATTCAATATATATGATGCATCAGAAAGCAACAAATTAAACAATAAAACCCATTGATAAGATATGAAAAAGGACTGATTCCTCTTAAAATATGTCATATCACCTTCTTTCCCACCTGTTTTGTTTCTTCAATACTAGCAACACCTCAATGACTTCAGAATGTTTTTTTGCATATCAAAGGAAATTGCTTTGGCTAAAAGAAATAACATGGTTTCTTAAACTTCAAAAAGAGGCACGGATGCCATGCTAAAATGCTAATACAAGTAGTCCTCAACTTACAACCTCGACATTTATTTAGTGACTGTTTGAAGTTATAATGGTACTGAAAAAGTTATTTGCAAGCAGTCTTCATATTTACAACCATTGCAGCATTTTCTATAGTCAGATGATCAAAATTTGGGCACTTGACATGTATTTATGATTGTTGCACGGTCCCAGAGTCAAATGATTGCTATTTTGCAACCTGGCCTGCCAGTTTCTGACAAAGTTAATAGAGAAACTCCAGATTCATTTAACAGCCAAATGATTCATTTAATAATTGCGTGAATCATTTAACAAACGTGGCAAAAAAGGTAGTTAAATCAGGCATTACTCAACAACAGCTTTGCTTAGCAGTGGAAATTCTGGTCTGAAATGTAATAATAACTTGAAGACTACCTGTATCACCTTTATTAAAAGGCTAATAATAACAATTTGTATAAAATTATATTACCTTACATAAGCTCTGAAAGACCAGGTAATAAATATTGTTTCTTGCACTTGTAATAAAACTTTAAGATCTAATGTGACTCGGAATACATTGTTGCATTTAATATGTAACTTTTTTTAAAAAAAGTGTAAAGTAGTGTTAGCAAAGAGAATAAATTATGACTCAGACTCCCAAAGGTGCTTTTTCAAGAGGCAACTGGACTTTCTGGTTTTTCTTTGAAGAAGTTTCAGTCCTCATCCAAGAAGCTTCTTCAGCTCTGACAGAATGGTAGGGAAATGGTGGGGGGATGGTCAGAGCTGAAGAAGCTTCTTGGATGAGAAGTGAAAAAATGTCTTCAAAGAAAAAACAGAAAGTCCAGTCATCTCTTGAAAAAGCACCTTTGGGACAACCATGACTTGGATGACTGAGATTCTCCATAGACATATAACTGAGATTGTAGCAGACAAAAATATATATATATTTTCCCCCATTGCAGTCCTTAAAGAAGCTGCCATTTTCTTTTGAGAAATCTCATCGTGGAGTGCAGCAAGGAAAGTCTGCTGCAATCCCAATACAGTAATGATCTACCTATATTCCTGATAATATTTGCATTTTTTTAAAAAGCAGAAGAGCATTTAATAAGAAATTATTTCATCTAAAATAGAATTTTGTTTAGACACGTGATGTTGTAAAAATGATGTTTGAAAGTAGTTGGTTTTTGTTTGTGTCTTGATGTTTCTTCTGATTTATGTTATCGTGATACACAAATCTCTGTCTCTACAGTGCAAAATGATACCAATCTCTGTACAGAAATGTGGATTGAAAGAATGTATCTTTCCCTTGTTAACAGTCTCCTCCTTTCTCTGTTAAAGCGCTCTCCCTCCTGTATTCCAGCCCACAAAGGCAGACGTGTAAGAGGATGTCTTGTTGTGTGTTGGCTTTTAGTTTGTCATATCATGGACATGGCTTTGCCTTCGTTCAATGTAGACCATTTTCCTTGATATTTTTACGGCTTGCATATTTACCTTGCTGCTTGTTTTGTGCTACTGCTTTTCTTATAGTTTCCTTCTGTTTAATACTGTTTATGAAGTGCAAAGCTTTGAGAATGTGTGTATTTGTGGTTTATTCTGTTTTATACTCTTGGCTTTAGGATGTCACAAAAACAAAGCAAAATTAGTGAAAACTCCAATTTGTTAATAAGATGGGGAGCAATTTTTAAATGTTTTTTGAAGATATTTTTTTACAAATCAGATAAATATGTTTCATATACAATTACAATACTATGCTTCAATTTTAAACTTATTAGAGGATGAAGACTTAGCAAAACAGAAATCTGCCTACCTAATCTATGTCATCATCAAATTATGAGCAGGATTATCAATTCTGTCAAGTTAGTTTGGTTGACATTTAAAAGAAGACCAGAGTCTTGACAAGAACTCATTTGTTTAACATGATTAGTATTATCCAGTCTGAGAACATTTTATAGTATAGTTTTACAATATAGTTATTGGTTTGGCAATTTATGCTTAGTCTAAAACACTAATATTCTCTCTCTTGCTCTTCTCTCTCCCTCCCTCCCTCCCTCTCTCTCTCTCTCTCTCTTTCTACACACACACACACACCCCACATGCACACACAGAGAGAGAGGTGGGAAAACAATCTGAAATTAGCTTCCAAGCATTCAGAGACGTGTCCATGTGTAAATGCATGTATGCATTAGGGCTATGTAAAGTATTCTTGTTGCAAAACATGTTAATGAAAACAAAATAACCTCACAATATTAAAACAGCCACAAAAAAAGTGTTTTAGAAGGCTTGCACAGCTGCCTTGGGGTCTATATTTGTTCTCTATGCTTATCAATGCATGCACAACCACTTCATCTTGGTGGTGGGTCCTGTTTTTAATACTGGGTCTGCTTGCATTCAACTGACATTCCTTAAAGAAGTTGCACCAAGCTTTCTAAAGGGCAGGGTTGCTTTAATGTTTTGAAGAAAGTTGTTTTGCTTAGGCTTTGTGATTCAACATGACAAACATACCTAATACTCCTGCCTCATATTTCTCCCACCACAACAATCTCTTTCAAATGATGCTACAAGTTATACATGGACACCCTTGTGCTGTGTCCCATATTGAACAAGCTCTGGCTATTCAGTGTTCTCAGACTGAGTTATGCTAATTATCTATATCATGGAAAGATTAAATATGTGTTTCAGATTAGATGTTGTGGACAGACCTTCCTAACACCCACCTTCACCAGTGCTAAGAACAGAAGATTGCAATTAACTCACATGACAAACACAAACTATGTATTCTAGTCATTTCTATTTACCTTCTGGTTTGGGTTTTTTCTTTAATGGGAGAAATAAAAATAGCAAAAATGGGGATGTTAAAAAAGCTACCTCTGTGTGTCATAATATTTTATTTCCTACATTCTTTGTCTGATATAATACCCAGGATAGATGGAAAAGATTATTGAGCCAGAGTGAGATTTTCAATAATAAAAGAAGTAAAATTCTCCCTGATATTCAAAGAGATATAATTTTATAATGGTGGAATCAAAGTGTAGAAAACAATTTCTGCTAATAATTGCTGCAGTGCTTGAAACAGTTTATATGCAAGTAGCAAATAATTATATTGATGATCATGTATCATTGATTATAGTCTCTGCAGGTTGAAATGGTATGAACATTTTATAAATAAATATGTCAGTTAAATAATGCTACGTCTATATTTTAAAAGAAGTGCTGAGCTGCATTCTGAATTTCAGTTACTGTTTGCTTTATGTAAGCACTTGCAATAAATAAGTGAGCAGTCAAGGATTATGTTCAACAAAATAAAGGAACACAAATTGATCACTCATCTGTTCTCTACTTATGGTTATTCAAGTGGCAAACACAAACTTACATATATGTACACATACAAATGTACACAAAGATTTATATGTACATGCATATGAGGAAGATTCTTAGGTATGTTTTATCTACTCTTTCTGTGTTTACAGAATAACAAATCATGTTCGAACATTTTTCTTAAACTTAAAAAATAACCTGCTTTCTACAATATGATTTGTATGAATCTTGTTCAGTACAAATTAAAATGCATAGATAATGTAGGTTTAAATCAAAGTACATTACTTGATTATTTTATGTTTTGAGAATTTTTGACTGACGATCCTAAATAATGACACTGAACTAGAGAAAAAAGAGGGAGGTTAGCTAGCTGGAAATCAACAATTTGACCAAACAGAGATCTTCCAAAAAGATGATTTTTCTTAATTAAATCAAGTTTTGGCAGTGTAGGAAAATAACGAAAATATGTCCTGTACATTATTCTGCTTTTTTCTGTTTAAAAAAAAACCACAAAATTTGTATCTATGATTTAAATATTACTTACATATTGATAAAAAATACATTTGAAACATCGACTAAGATATCACTGTCATCTTTAGAAATTTAACTTTTATTAAAACAAACCTGATCAGTGTTATTTTAATAAATATTTATAAGTGTGGGCTAAGATCATTTTATTAAACTATATTTAAAATAATTTGTTTACTAATTGATTAGCATCATGATACTGCCATGTATTGTGACTATTTATTAATAATCTTTCTAATATGTTTTATCATATGAAATTACAATTACCATACAAAAGAAGCTTCTAAAATGTTGTTTCAGATTATAAAAGAATCAAAATCTCTGGAGTCCTAGATGCTGTCCAAGCTTGGTTGTTTGCTTCCAGATGTTTCATTCCCCAATGAATCAAAATCAATTAAGCTTATTTCTTATAATCACTAAAAAAAAGAACACCAGAGGCCTACAAGTGAAGCCATAGCTTTAATTTTATATAAATTGATTTTATTATAGCTGCTGGGAAATAAACGCTAAGAATAGATTGCATTGAGCTTTACATCAATGCAATTTAAGATATCATTATCTTATGATATCATATCATTATGCTGATATTGATATCACAGGTATTCAAATTTTCCAAACTATAGGTATGTTCACCACCTTAAATTGACCAAACTTTTATATATAATAAAAGGTGGGGTAAACTAATAATGATTACCTTCCTTTTTTTAAAAAAAGTGTAATTCAGCTACATTTCTGTGTCATAGCAAGTGGAGGCATCTATTCAGCGTGTTATTTGGATGGTAAATCACTAGGAAATCTCAAGTTTGTAGAGTAAATTACAATGTGTGGCAAAATCTTGAAAAAGGGAATATTAAACTCTGTATTGTTTCCCACAATCTCTGTAAGTCAGAAGCCAAACTTTATTAAAGGAGACTCTACATTTATGTTATTTGCATTTCTGTATTTTTGAAAACTGGTACTTATCGAATGTGGCTTCTTAATATTCTTTCCCACCCTTTTTTTCTTTTCCTTTCATTTTCCATTTCTTTTCTTTTGCTTGTTTCTTTCCCTTGGTTGTTTCTCTAGATTGATTCTGTTGAAAATTTTACCTTATCTAATACGCCTTCGCGGGATGAAGATATCAAGTATCATCTTCATTCAAGATCTAGGTCCCCTTCCACAGCTAGTGACATTGAGGTACTCTCTCTTAGAACATTTGTTTTAAGAATTGTCCTTCCCATAGCTCAGTGTTAAAGCAACTGTCTAAATGCACTGTGGAATAAGCTCAGTTGAATTAAGTGGGAATTATATTAACAAATAAAGGTTATATATTCATAATATGGTGACCATAACATTTTATCCTGGTGATTTAACTCATCCCAATGGATATTATTAAAATAACGGTTGGTCATATATTATTATTATTTATTTGTTATGGCCATACAGTCCAGCAGACTCTGTCTTATGAAAAAGAAAAACTCCCAAAACAGTTTAAAATATAAATACATACTGCCTGGACTAAATAAGAAGAAGAAACCAACAATAACAACATCATAACAAGCCCATGAAGCTCAGGTCTGAGACCAAAACCCAGATCTCAAGAGTTTTCCAGAACCTCAGAAGAGATCTTGTCATTTCTATCACTTTTAGTACATGAGTTACAATATTTTGGCCAGTCACTCCTTTAGAGCAAAGAAAACTTAAAAACCATTGTTTTACTTTATGATTCTTTTTTCATTAGCATATGGAGAACAATCTGTGGCCATTATGGAGCAAGCAGAGAGAACTTACCCACTTTCACCTGTTTCTGCCTGTTTCGCACACTCCTTCACGTAGCTAGAAAAAGAATTAAAATTATAATGCCCAGAGATAGTTAATTTTTTTGTAGCTTTTCTAGGATTTCATAATGATCATGGAAATCAAAAAGGGCATTCAGGTAAGTACCGTAGTTCAGATACCAAGTGGAAAGTTAGTTGACTATGGGAATTAACCTGAGGATTAATTGGTTTGGACATTTAACTAGATTTAGTTGTTCACATGACATCCGATTAACCCAATGAGGCAATTAAGCATATTGGGTAAACAGGCCTAAAGTCTCACTGTCTTTACATAGCAAACCTAATAAAAGGAGATTATTCCAATGATTTTACGAGTTTTTCAATTCAGTCAAGCACATAAACATGGTGTGCTTTTGGAAGATTTATTTCTGTTTCATATAGAAAACAGATAGCCAATGATAGATATACAGTGTTTTGCTGTTATCTTTGCATCTGAATACCTATATTAATGGAATTCAGTAGTTTCTGAAAACACTTCTATGTCCGAGCACCAGTTCATATGAGAGAGGTATTTTACATACATATGACTCAAACATATTATATGTATTTGCGCAGACAAACTCACACTCAGTGACATACTTTAAATAGTACTGTACAAACAGAAAAGTGAGACTTGAAAGTAATAAATAAATATATAAATCATATGTAAATTATCCCTGGAAGCCAGATAAAATATATTCACATACATATACTTTCTAACATGTAGTTATATTGTCCATTATAGAAAGCAAATTGCCCATGCAGAAAACAAATACAGGGAGAAAATAATACAGTACATTGCTGCTGTTACTTTCAGATATCACTTGCATCTAGAATGAAGCAGTATTTCTTTTATTATTCTTCAGCAAGCTGCAGATTCCATTAGTTCTTTCCCAAGGAACTTAGCTTTGTAATCTTCCTTGAGGAATTCCTTCTGGGATTCAGTGTGATCTTCTGTGACGTAATAGAAGCCTACCAGTCAGGCTGTATCAAGCCAAGATTTTAAATATATGCTAACATCTTCACTGTGGAGCAAATTTGTTTGTGAAAATGACAACCGTTTTAAAAATAGTTGATATAGCATAGATGGTAGAATATATATCCACAGTTCTAATTAAAATAACAATTTATTTCATTAGCTTGCTAGAAGCACCATATAGTTGTCTTCTGATGGAGGATTGTTTTGTTACTTTTTGGATGGAAGCACTGATCTTCAGAATATTTCTTGGACTTTTCACAGAAACCCTAATTTCATAGTTCACATGTCACATTAAATACTCTTTCTTTCTTTCTTGCATGGTTTGATGTTCAAATGTCACCAAAGTATTCAAAACTGGAATACTTCTTGTATCTTTATACTGCAATTATATGCATGATTGCTTTTACTTTGATATAAATCATTGTTTTTAAATTAATTCACAATTGACAGGGATTGCAATGTTAAGCTATGTAGCTATTCTACACTATAGTTCCTGATGTTATTGTCCATTTATCACCAACTCCCATTTGTAAACCAACCATGCTATGTAGCTGGTTTCTTTCCTATTTATTTATTTTAGTAAATATTTAAAAAGAATAGAATCAAAAAGCAGTAAAAGTAAGAAAAATGAAAAAAAAGAAAATAAAGTTACATGCAAGATTAAATAAAAATGAAAGTAAGATTAGTGCTGCATATTTAAGTCTTCAGAACATTGTTTGTCAAGTCAATATTCAATAATTAATAACAATATCCAGTGTAATATACATCATAAATTCAAAATCATTCTGATTTATGATTTTACATAAATTAGCCTGGTAACCACATGCTGTCACAATTACCTGTTAAAAATAGAAGAGCAGTTACAAAAGAATGTAACTTTGTATCATGGCATATTAATATTAACTATGAGCTTGTCAACAGATTAAATAAGCATATTTATTTCATGTATATATTATATAACATTATATGTTCTATACTATATTACATTTTAATATTTTAATCAGTTAACACACATTTTTTTCATCATGATAAATTAAGCAGTTAATAACAACAATAGTGCTTCAGAAAAGTTTGTGTTCCTTTGACAATATTTTTATTTAATAAAATAAAATGAAGTGTTTCCAATGTGTTACTGGCACATGCTACTGACCTATATCATTTTATTAAACTCCTTGGCTACACTTATAAGAACATTTATCACACAGTTCTATCATATAAAAGCCTTTATTTAATAACTGCTTGAACTAGTACATGTATGATCCAATTTTGGTACAGAGGTAATCAGTCAAACATCAGCTTAATGAAGATAGTTAAACTGACTGTGCGTGTTCGATAATTAACAAAACTGTGCAAATGTTGGAAAAAGTGCTTCTCGTTGCATATTGCTACAAATGAAACATCTCTTCTCGAAAAATTAAAAGAACTGTATGGTTGGTATGGTCAGCATGACTGCCTGAAAAGCTTTTCTTGGGTCTCTGCATGCATGTTGCATGGACAGCTGCGTTGCTTTGCTGGCAGCCTCAGGGCAAGTGCTGTTTGATTAACCAAACATTTTTTATTATATGCACATCCAAAAGAATAATCCTCAGAGTCACTATGTGAATGCTTTATGCCATTTTCCCCTCCATAGAGAGTCAGTTTGCAGTGGTGGGTGATGTCTTAGGCATGAAAAACCGCTGGGTAGCTTTCAGCCAGTCATTCCCTCTCTGTCCAACTCACTTCAAAGGGTAGCTATTATGAGAAAAATAGGAGGAAGGAGTTCTTCACCTTGAGTTGTATGTTGAAAAAAAGTATATGGATACTATAATAATAATTGTTACCGATAGTTGTGTATTTTTGTGTCTATGAGTATTTGAAGCTTTTCCAGTAAACCAATTTCTTAAAATACATTTACAGTTTAGTTTTGTAAAAAGCTGTAAAGCATTTAAGTTTTTTGCAAGTGAGGGAAATTGGAATATGTTACCCAAAGTAAATGCATTTTAAAAAAAAAATTACATTTTGCACCAGTTTGCTTATATCAACACCATTTAACAGTGGGGGTGTGGGCGGTTAATATTAATATAAATTAATGTTCATCATATATTTGCTCAGGTTTCAGATCATCCTCTGCGTCCAGTTCACACTCCAACCATGAGATCACCATATAGTGGTTCAGGACTCTCTGTGCCAAAGGTATTTAATCAAATATTATGATTAGAAGCTATGCTAAACTCTTAGCCTATTCTTATACAGGTAGTCCTTCACTGATGACCACAGCTAAGCATGGAATATTGGTCATAAATCATTGCGGGTGTAAGTTGAGTCCACATGACTGGACTTGATGTTTCAATCATTTTTATGACAGTCATTAAGCAAATCAGCTGATCAGTTAAGTAAATCATGTGTCATTAAGCAAATCATGTAGTTGTAATTCCGAATCCATCTTATCCAACGGAACATTATGCCAGAAGATAGCAAAAACTATTGTAAAATAAGAACATGTGACACACAGGATGCTGCAACTGGTTGTAAAAGCAAACCAATTGCCAACCTCTCAAAATATGACCATGTGTCCTTGAAGGCGGTGTTTGAAGACATAACTTTTAAGTCAGTCATAACTTTGAACTTTCATTAAGTGACCAGTCATAAGTTAAGGACTACCTGTATCTACTTTGTTGATCCTCTATCATTTATTTATGAATAAGGATGCTGTTAGTATCAGTAAATAGGGACACGGTGTCTCAGTGGCTAAGACGCTGAGCTGGTTGATCAGAAAGGTTCAGCAGTTCGAATCCCTAGCGCCATGTAACGGAGTGAGCTCCCATTACTTGTCCCAATTTCTGCTAATCTAGCAATTTGAAAGCATGTAAAAATGCAAGTAGAAAAATAGGGACCACTTTGGTGGGAAGATAACATTTATTTAATTCTTTAGACTGTTTCTATAAAATACATAAAATGTAAAATTATTATAAAGTTACATATCTGACTTAATAGAGAATGATGGTTCTGTTCTCTGAATAGAACTGATTATGATTAAACTAGTATAAGATATAGGAATAGTTTGGAAATAATGAAACTGAAAAATAAACTCTAATAGTGCAACAGAACTAAACTATATAATATGCAGCAATTTAACAATGATTTTTTATTATCAAAGTGCTTGTCACCTAATCAGTACTTTTATTTGTTTTACAGCCTAAGGCCCATCAGTTTGTAGTAAAATCCTTTAATACCCCTACCAAATGCAATCAGTGCACATCATTGATGGTTGGGTTAATAAGACAGGGTTGTACCTGTGAAGGTAAGGCCTGGCATCTGTTTTTTTTTTTAAACAGAGGATTATATTTACTGTATGATAATTACATGTTAATTATTAATTAATTGATTAATTATTAATTAATTAATTAATGCCATTTTTGGCTGTGTTACAGCTAGCTATTTTAATTCAAAATCTCCCTAGATTAGTATAATATACTAGACTTGAATGATACTGTTTTTTAAAAGTACAGTGAAAAATCTGAGCATCTGTTTTGTTGGCTTCCGTATCGAGAGGGTTTTATGGTTGCTGAACTTTGTCTAAAACAAGGTTTTTCAGTAAATGAGCAGCTGGGTCATCAGAGAGAAATTACGTGAAAATGGAGAAAGGACTTTAACTTTCCCTGTGTAGCAATCTCAGTTGTACTGAAACCCATTAGGAGCTTGAAGAATATGATTATATGTATGAACATGCATATTTGTTTTCTTAAGTTTTCGCGGGTATTTATATGTATGGTATTCAGCTTTGCTCGGGTATTTTCCCACGTCATTATAGTTGTGCTGACTCACAAACGAACACTATACAGAAGCCTGATGATGGCAGATGAGATTCTGCCGAAACGTTGCTACAACTTTAAAAGCACAGCTATAATGATGTGGGAAAATACCCAAGCAAAGCTGAATACCGAACATGCATATGTTTATAGAACAAAAATGTTTATCACCCTGCTTAGGACTCCTAAAAATTTCATGTACTACAACATAGATGAGACGGTGGGCTATCCATTTTATCAAACTGAACAAAATATTTTTATAATGAACTTTTCTTTATGGATGTTCATTTTAGTTCAAGAGAGTAGAGCTGATAAAAGTGATGTGGAAGATATATATGAAGCAACATCTGATTCTGTTAAAAAATAAATTTTTTAACAAAAGTTCAGTATCTCAGATGAATTAGTTTTATATTCATTTCTTATCCAAATTCCTAAATTTCCCTTTATAAATTAGCAATTTAAATGTTGCAGAAGTATAAACCTTCATCACAACATATATATTTGGAATTTCTGTGAAATGGCTCATTTTAGTTTATATATGATTATGGTTTTAATAGCCCAGAAGGTATTAATGCAGTGAACATACATGTTTATCTATAGTAAATCTGGAATGGAAGTTTACAGTGACATACATTCGCTGCATAACATAGAGTAAACACGTAGTTCCATTGGCCAAAAAAAAAATTGATAAGGGTGTTTGTGCTTATCATATTATTAAAATAATTACTGCACAATTAACAAGGTTAGGTGTACATTTTCATTACAAATACTGTCTTTCCTCCCAGTTTGTGGGTTTTCATGCCATGTGACCTGTGCAGACAAAGCACCAGCAGTATGTCCCATCCCACCTGAACAGACAAAAGGTCCTCTAGGGATTGATCCACAGAAAGGAATAGGAACTGCTTATGAAGGGCATGTCCGAGTAAGTCTAAGAAAATCTGTGTTGTTTTTTGTTTACCATTAATATTCATCTCTCTTTCTCGCTCATTTCTTATCATTTTTACAACAAAAGTGTATATAGTGTGAATGTGTGTATGTGTGCATACATTCAATATGTATGTGTACACACACACTCACAGTAAACTCCAATATGTCTCCTACTGTTTCAGATAAAAAGCTAGGAGTTGGTACTTCCATACTGTCACTGGTATTGCGATTTTGTACCAGTTTGCTAATGTCTATCCTGTTGTACTCCATTATATTACGAAGGTGGCCTGTGCTCCCTCCATCTGGCTAGTGGAAGGGCATAAAAATATAGCCAGCTATTACCCTAAACACTCATCGATTAATCCCCTGTTATAGTTGCCTTTTCCCATGGAAAATAAACAAAAAAGATAACACTGTATGGTTACTGAAGATGGTACCCTCCAGAGTGACTGGAGAGGACATGAATTGTGGAACAACTCCAAAGTGCCTTAGCTGCAGAACAGAATAAGAAATCCCAAGAAATGAGACAAACTAGAGATTCTTGCCAGTGGGAACCACCTGCCTTATACTTCCAGAAGAAATGCTACCACATTTTCACTGCAGCAACACTTCTAGAATTCAAGCTGAGTTGTAATTAATTTATTCAAGACCAATTACTTTGGGAAATCGGAACTAGCATTGATCTCAGATCAATGCAATCTTTCATGGAGAAGAGGCATCAGCTTCTTCACTGCTCTATTTGAAGGAAGACATGACCATTCAGTCAATTTATTTTTATAGTATAAATGTATATCTGATTGATTTGGTGAATGGTCTCTTGTATAAATATTGAAAGTACATTTTGCATATTATGCTTAGGTGTTAAAAAAATTGTTTGCCTGTTTTGATTTTTTGCATTTAATTAAATTAATGTGATTAATTTTATTTTAGATCCCTAAGCCAGCTGGAGTGAAGAAAGGCTGGCAGAGAGCCCTGGCTGTTGTCTGTGACTTCAAGCTGTTTCTTTATGATATAGCAGAAGGAAAAGCATCCCAACCCAGTGTGGTAGTCAGTCAGGTTCTTGATATGAGGTAGGAATGGCATGCTTTAATTTAAGTTCTTCTCTTTTGAGTCTCTGCTGGTATAATAACGTAGAAGTTGACCATTTTGCTATAGCCTATCCCTTTTTGATAAGCTGTGCTTAGAAGAACATCAGCAGTAGCTGTGGTATAGTATGGAAATATTATTGAGCTTTAAATATGGTGGAAAATTATGGAAGTAGAAGCTGAAGTTTTAAAATGTTAGCGATTGTTGCTTCAGGTAACGAATCAAACCTCTCTTTAAATGAATTTATTATTATTCACAATTGGTCAGTAGGACTTCTTGTTAAATACTTGCTAATTGCACTTAGATAAAGTGGTGCTAAAAAGTTTGTGAACCTTTTTGAAATTTCTGTATTTCTACATAAATATGACCTAAAATGTGATCTATTCTCCACACAAATCCAAAAACTAGAAAAAGAGAACCCAGTTAAACAAATGAGGCTAAAATATTAGACTTGTTCATTGGCTTATTGTGGGAAATGATCCCAAACTGCATATTTATGTTTGGGGAAGGATGTAAATCTTTGCTTTTAGTAGCTGATGTGAAATCCTTGGGCAGCAATAATTTCAACTAAACATTTCTGATAACTGTTGATCAATAGAAGAGAATTTACTGTACATAGCTCAAGGCTGAACTGTAGTGCCGTTAGTGTTCTTTGAGCTTAGTTGTTTGTTTTCAGATGGTTTATTACCCAGCTAGCTAACTGCACTGAATCAGTGCATCATTAGTGCATTAACATTTGCAAGCAAGCAGCAAAGCTCAAAGAGTGCCATAGATCCCATAAGTGTCGATCAGTCCTGTGTATTTGTTTGGAGACATTTTAGCCCATTTCTCCTACTAGAGGATGTAGTGTGCTTCCTCTCATTAACTGCCTTCTTTAGGTCCTTCTACAACATTTCTACAGAATTTAAGGTCAGGAGTTGGACTTGGCCATTACAAAACCTTACATTTCTTCTGCTTTAACCATTCTTTGTGTGTATGACTTGTATGTTTTAGATCATTTTGCTACATGACTGATTTACTCTTGAACTTTAATTCATGGACAGATATTCTGATATTTTCCTGGCACAATTAAGAACTCATAGGTCCATCAATAATGGCAAGTCATCCTGTCCACAGGCAGCAAAACAGGTCCAAACCATGATATTGCCACTACCATGGTTTTTTTAGATGGGATACGGTTAACAGATAACAGATAATCAGAGTTGGAAGGGACCTTGGAGGTCATCTATTCCAACCCCCCTACACCATTTCTGACAAATGGCAGTCCAATCTCTTCCTGAAAGACTCAAGTGATGGCGCTCCCACAACTTCGGAGGGCAAGCTGTTCCATTGGTTGATTGTTCTCATGTCAGAAAGTTTCTCCTTATTTCCAGGTTAAATCTCTCCTTGTTCAGTTTCCATCCATTATTCCTTGTCTAGCCTACATGCACTTTAGGAAATAGCTTGACCCCTTCCTCCCTGTGGCAGCCCCTCAAATATTGGAAGACCGCTATCATGTCTCCCCTGGTCCTTCTCTTTACTAGACTAGCCAAGCCCAGTTCCTGCAACCGTTCGTTGTATGTTTTAGCCTCCAGTCCCCTAATCATCCTGGTTGCTCTTCTCTGTACTTTTTCTAGAGTCTCAACATCTTTTTTATAATGTGGTGACTAAAACTGAATTCTTATGCTGGAATGCAGTGTTTGCTTTTCACCAAATGTAATGATTTTCATTCAAGCCTCAATATTTTATTTTGACCTCATCTGTTCACAAAACATACTTCTAATATCTTTCTGGCTTATCCGCATGATCTTTTGCAAATCCTATAGGAGGAGCAATATTCTTTCAGAAAAGTAGTGACTTTCTCCTTGCAACCTTTCCATGCGCACCATTGTTGTGGTCTCCTGATTTTTGACATTCACAAATGCAACATAGGCCTTTAGTTCTTTAGACATTACCCTAGTGTGGTTTTAGTTGCTTGATCACTCTCTGACAGGGTTGATTTGCCTTCATTTATGTACAATTTGCCTGATAGTAGACTTGAGGGTCTTAACTCCTTATAATAGTTTTCCAGACTGGTGAGTATCAATAACTGTTTTTCAGGGGTCCTCAGAAATCTCCTTTGTTTGAGCAATAATTCACGTTTCCGCATAGCTGAAAAGTGAAGATCGTATTTTGGTAGCAAGCACTCAGAATTCTGTTATTTAAATAAGGCAGGACCTTCCACTCTCACACCTGTCATCCCATTTACTAAATACCGGGTTCTAATTTTCTCCTCAAATGAACTAATAATCCTGAAGATTCACATACTTTTGCCACAACAAATACATCACTTTGGATTTTTTTTCTGCAATAAATAAATGAATAAGTATATATTTCTTGATTTGTTTGTTTAATGGAGTTTTCTGTATCTATTTTTAGGTGTTGTATGGAGAACAGGTCACATTTTAGATCATGGGCAGCTATAGAAATATGATAAATAAATAATAAAATTCTAAAGGTTTAAATAAATTTTAGGAGCTAAAAAATTACAGAGTTGTTGCAAATAAAATTTCAGAGTGAGAGCTCAGATATCTTCAAGATAATAAAATTGATTGTGCAGTCTTCAGTGATCGGGATATAAGTATAGCAATATTATTTTGAAATTTTCTTTTAAATGTAAATAAAAGTTTATCAGAGTTTTCTGTTGTGACACTTCGACTGGGGCTATTACTTGATTTATCTTTCACTCTTACCTTTTGCCCCCTTATTCCAATAGAAAAAAAATTGACCAATGGATACCAAACATTTATATAAAAAATTATTTGGTACAGTTATTGAGTGAATGTAATGTACTTCTATGGAGAGCTAAATATAAAACATCATTCCAGTTCTATGTTGTGCTGGTATGATTTTCTTCCAGAATAGAGGTTCTTAATTGAGGTCTATGGATTGCTTGGAGATCTATGGATTGATTTCAGGGAGTCTGTAATTTTGAATCAGAAAAAAAAAATACAATTTTATTTTCAGTAATTTCTAACTTGTCTTATTGATTTAATAGATTAATAAAGAAGAACATATCTATGTTATACTTATCATTTTGAAAACTTTATTTGAGCATAATTGATTTCTTTTGTAAAACAATTTTCTTTTTTTCATTTTATAATTTGGATACATTTTTCTGAGATATCCATAGCCTGACTCTCAAAGAAGTCCATGACAGAGAGGTTAAGAAACTCTGCTCTAGATTGTGAATAATTACTGTTCAAATGTAATAATTTCTCACGTCTTTATAAAAGGGATGAAGAATTCTCGGTGTGTTCTGTTCTGGCTTCTGATGTTATCCATGCAAACCGAAAAGATATTCCCTGTATTTTTAGAGTAAGTAATTATCTATTACAGTTGCAACACAGAGCAGAAAATAAATTGTTCTCCTTACACCATTTCTTAAAAATTAATGGAAATTTCTCTATTTGTTATTCAGTGTGGTTTGTGTGGTTTCCTTTGAAATTTCATATTTTTATTGCAGCTTTCTATGATAAAATATAGGAATATCAACAAAATCTCATTTTAATCCTCCAGACATGGTGCAATTAATTTAATTAGCCTTCAGAGTTCTAAAAAAATGCTATACAGGTAGTTCTCAAGATATGATAGTACACTTAATGAATGTTCAAAGTTACAATAGACACTCCCAAATTGAATAAGACTCTGTTTCAAAGTTACAACTGTGCAGCACATAGGGATGCTGCAGCACCCCCACCTCTCTACCTCCATCCCACTCCACCACCTTGGGCCTGCTCCTCTCTTACCTATCACCTATTACATTTACTTTCTGAAGCTCTCCAGACCTCATGTTGGAAAAGAAGGACAGGCCATCTTTTCCTGGGGTGCATGCAGGCAACCGTTGTTTTGTCTTGCTTGTTGGCTGGGACAACATGGCAGCCACCAAACAAACTGCTTTGTCCCCTGGCTGCATGGCTGAATATAGTTGCTATTTTGTCCTGCTCACTTATGGACAGAGACAAAATGATAACTGCTTCATTTTGCTGCCTTAATCTGTACAAGTCTGTATAGCACTGTAGAAGCTTCTGAATTCTGCAGAAAGCTTCCATAGCACTGTGCAGACATTCTTAAGGCAACAAACAAAGCAGTTTGTTCCCAGCCCATGTGGTGGCAACTCAAATATGGCTGCCATTTTTTGGATAGGACAAAATGGCCACTTCTGGAACTGCACCATACAGCTACACAAAGAAGTAATCCATTCCATTTCTCTGGAAGGCCTCCAGAGCTCTTCAAAGGGTAAGTGAGGAGGAGGGTGTTTGCCCTGATGAGGTGGGAATCATTCTAGAGGCCTGAGGGGACTCTGTGGAAGTAGAAAAGACCTGTGGGGCCTCAGGGGGTGGAAAGCAGAGCACAGGCATCTCAGGAGGTGGGAGAGACCTGGGGGAGGGGATCAAAGCAAGCAGGCTTGACCCTGTGCTATGCCTCCAAGGATCTGAGGCACCCTTTTCTCCACTTAACGACACAAGTGTTTCATGACTTATTAGGGAGAGCAGGCATGTGGAGGTTGTTAGCTGAGATGCTTCACCTAACTACTATTATGACATGTGACTGTAACAGGCAGGCTCCATTACAGTCATATCTCAAGGACTACCTGTATACAAATTAATACTTACATTTTTAAAATCAGATTTTATTCGTAGCTTTATCCTGTCCATTTTTCTTCATTACGATTGTTTTACAGAGACTGATACTCATAGCTTCGTCACTAAGTGAACAGCGATTTGAATTGGGGTCATTCACTATGCATTTTTTAATGCTTCTCTAGCTTTCATTGGTCTTTTGTAATTTATATTTGATGTTGACTTCTTCACTTATTTACTACATAAGTAGTTATATTGAGGTTATTTTTGGAATACATTCAATACATGTATTTATTCAATAAATAAATGACATTGGTATATATATATATCAAAGGATCTCATTTTTACTTACACATATCTAACATTTCCAGGTTTCAGCTTCTCAGCTATTAGCATCAAGTAATAAGTGTTCGGTCCTGATCCTAGCTGACAGTGAAAATGAAAAAAGTAAATGGGTAGGAGTCTTACATGAATTACATAGGATTTTAAAGAAGAACAAGCTCAAAGATCGCTCCGTCTACGCTCCCAAAGAAGCATATGATAGTACCTTACCCCTTATTAAAACTAGCCAAGCAGCAGCAATTATAGGTATGTATTTTTAAAAACATTTTACAGATTTCTTGTTTTAACTATGAAGTTTTAATTCATGCTTGAATTTTGAAGCAGCGTACTCACACTTGCCTGGAATGGATTTGGCTCTGAATTTAAGAAAAAATAGGAAAATATTATAAACACAAAAATAAAGTTAATCTAGAATAAGTACCAAAAACGATAAGTACTGTTGAGTATTCCCAGTTAGGAAAATGAGTGCACTCAGGGAAACATAGTGAGAGTGGTGATGAATAACACACAACCAGCACACAGATACACTGAATAGCAAAATGTAAGTTTTACCTCCAGTAAACGGGTAAACAGAGTCCAACAAACAGTTCAAATCATACACGGTTAAAGCAGTTAGTATTCAAAACAATCAGTCCAGGGATAATCCAAAAATGAAGTTCTTTTCTTTACCAGTATTATAAACAAAGTTCAGTAAACGGAGTTTGCGAACAGTTTGCAAGACTCACAGCAATCCGAGCAGAACAACGATCAGGCAGAAGGCAAAAGGAAAATGCAAGAAGAGATCAAACCAGGTTTCTGGCTCCATCTTATGGCCGTCGGAGGAACCTCAGCCAATCACAATTACAGCACTCTCTTAAAGATACAACAGTATTAAATAACTATCCTGGTTTATATATTGCCATTGCCTGGCTTATATATTGTCATTCCTAACGAGTACCAAACAGATTTTTCCCGTATGGAATAATGTAGTGAGTCACAAAGCAGCCAACACCAACAAGTTGTAATTTGTGCATTGAATACCAAACAAACAATAGAATAAAATTTTCATGTCAAAATGAGCTGAGTACCAAATTTGATGAGTTTCAAAGCAGTTGAGTACCAGGGTACCACTGTATTAAAATGGATTGCCTGTAAAATACAGTCTCTCATTTTAAAACATGATTTCCCATCTACATATATAAACCATGTTTTCTGTGCATTCACACACACAGCCCTCCCTTCTCAAAAAAGAAGAAGAAGAAGAAGAATGGAAATGCACTGAGGAAAATATACAGTATTGGGAAGGGAGTTATATTTAAGGGAAAATATAACTGTACAGATAAGAAAAACATGGAAGAAGTATTTAACTAGTGAGGGAAGAAAAGAGAGATCTCTTTAGGACTTTCAAAAATATTTAAATTCATCAAGCAGCATTCCCTCCAAAATACCTGATAATCTGCTGAGATCTTCTTGCTCAGCAAATGTAAAATTATCCTCCACATGTTTATAGATATTTGAAGAAAAAAAAATCTTGTGTTCTTGTCAGTTAGATATGATAATATAACTTCACAAGCCTTTCTATTAAATATTTTGTAAAAAGGAAATAAAATAGAGATAGTCCTCGACTTAGATGCTACCATTGCAGCATCCTCATGGTCCTTTTAACAAGTAGAGTTAATCGGGAAGCCAGATTCACTTAACAACTGGGTTATTAACGTAACAACTGCAATGATTTACTTAATAACTGGCAAAAAAATCGTAAAATGGGCCAAAACTCACTTCACAAAGGTCTCACCTAGTAACATAAATTTTGGACTCAATTATGGTCGTAAGCTGAGAACTATCTGTATAAGACTAACAAAACAAATCTATGCTTATCTCTCAGAATTAAATTAGGCTTACTTCCAGGTAAATGGGCAACCTGATGTATTAGATTTCGATTCTTGTTGGTTCTAAGCAAAGTATCCAATAATAAACAAGCCTTGGAACTTAAAATATTGGGGTGATATCTGGTTAACAGTCCATATAGACTTTGATTGCTTATTGTACCCTATGACTATCATTAAGTGTTGTACCTTATGATTCTTGACTCTTGACAAATGTATCTTTTATGTATACTGAGAGCATTTGCACCAAAACAAATTCCTTGTGTGTCCAATCACACTTAGTCAATAAAGAATTCTATTCTATTCTATTCTAAATAGCCAAGATAACATATCATCTAATGGAAAACTGGTAGTTTATATATAGAGTGGAATAAAAATAAAGATCATGAGAGGTATTGGGAATTACAAAACAGTTTAATATGATAAAAAAATGGAAAGCAAAATGGAAAATAATTTATGAGTCAAATGAATTCTAAAATGTTTTGAAATTGTATTTTTCTTTGATCTGTAAACGTTTACACTAGTTAAAATTGCGTATTTTCTATTAGTCATTTTTACCTTTCAACTATTTTGAACGTTTATATTGTTTAGAGAGATTTTTTTTAATTTTCATTGAAAGCAAAATGAAACAATAAGGGTATCATTACACTTTATAATATTAAATTGGTTTGAACTATTCTGGCATCTGATACTTGTTTTTCCTTGGGCAATGTGTGTTTCAATTTTTTTTCATTATTAACTGTTTCAGATCATGAACGAATAGCTTTGGGCAATGAAGAAGGGTTATTTGTTGTTCATGTTACAAAGGATGGTAAGAATATTAGATTTATATTGGAAAAGTGAAAATTCAAATAAGATATACTTTTTATTTCATTCCGTGTAGCCTAAGCTATTTGATTAATACTAGGGAGGCTCAGATTCAAGTCCCCATTTTTGCAGAAATTGACAAAAAACATTGCAAATCGCAGTCACATGACCATGGGATGCTGCAAATGGCTATAAAGATGAGCCAGTTGCTTATCATTCCAAATGTAATTCCATCGCAACTTCAAAAACAAGGCATAAATACCTCTGAAGATACCTGTCATAACTTCCAGTGATCATTAAGGAAATGGTCATAAGTTGAGGACTACCTGTACTTAAAAACTCTTCAGTCTGTGGTATTTCAGAAGACTGGAACTCTAGTTTTGCCTTTATTTGTTTATTTATTCAGTATATGTGGCCACCCATTTCAAGTTAACAAATATTTTTGCTATTGTGTTTTTTTTAATGAGGAATGGAATACTTAATATGAATATTTCATTTCTAACTGTGTTTAATTATTTCATCAAAAATAATTAAACACAATTAGAAATGAAAAATTCAAAATGCATAGATAAAACTAAGTGTAACTTATCCAATTCTATATTAGCAGGCACAAATTTTCTAAATATAGTTTTGCTTGGCAGTGGATAGATGACATAATATTAATAGGTACTATAGAACAGGGGTCCCCAACCACCGGTCCACGGACCGGTACCGGTCCGCGGAACAAGTCCTACCGGGCTGCTGGCTTGCTGGGC